CCCCAAAACCCCAAAACCCCAAAACCCCAAAACCCCAAAACCCCAAAACCCCTTTTAAATTAACAGAATTTAATAAAATTTCGCGGAAATGGAAGCTTTCCTAAAAAGAAATGGTAACAAGTCCCTGAAGAAGGTTGAAAGTAAGCATAGTTGCATAAAAACCATATTGCTAATCCTTTACTTTGTATTAGCTTATTAAAAGAATCTCTGAGCAAATAGATATTTTTAAGGCTAATTTCGTTAAAACATCATTTAAAAAATGGGTATAGAGGATGTTGAGATGGAGCCTGATGATGAAAAAGACAATAAATCAAGATACCAGCCATGGGTTGAGAAATAGTAATTTGCTATTAAGTCACCAACAATTATAGCCGCCCAAACAAAATAGATGAGGTATCACATCAACCTGAAGTAGTTAGCGCCTTAAATAAGAGCATAGAAACAGGAAAAGTAAGATTTTAGTGAGAAATGTTCATAGATTCCTCATTTACTACTCTATGGTCCTCCTGGTACTGGCAAAACATCAACCATTCTTGCGTTATCAAAGGAATTGTTCGGTCCAGAGTTTCACAGATCGAGAATTCTCGAGCTCAATGCTTCTGACGATAGAGGAATTGGAATGGTTAGAGAGAAAATTAAGAAGTTTGCTCAAAAGAAAATCTCAAAGGCGGTATCTTCAGATTATCCTTGCCCACCAGTCCAGCTTATCATCCTTGACGAGGCTGACTCGATGACAGTGGATGCTCAAGCAGCACTTAGAAGAACAATCGAAGTATACTCTGCACAGACAAGATTCTGCATAATCTGCAATTATGTTAGCAAAATTATCGAACCATTAGCTTCAAGATGTGTTAAGTTCAGGTTCACTCCAATTGCAGAGGAAGCTCAAATGAAAAGACTTCAATATATCTGTGAGCAAGAGGAGATCAACCATGACAACTCTGCTCTTGAAGCTTTAGTAGAAGTAACAGATGGAGACATGAGAAAGAGCATCATGATGCTCCAATCAGCAGGAAGATCTTATGAAGGAGATAAACTCACTGCTGAAGATATCTATGAAGTCTCTGGCAAGATCCCTATTGAAGTTATTCAAGATATTTGGGACCAAATTTTGAACCAAAGCGATACTAATATCAGTGAGCTTGCTGAAAATGTTATCCAAGAGGGATATGATATCATGCAACTTCTTTCCCAACTAATCGAACTAGTCACTAATGCAGCTACCAGAGATGTATCTCATCTCAAGAAAGCAAGGATAGCTGAAATATGTGCTGAGACTGAATTCAAACTTATAAAAGGTGGTTCTGAAGAGCTAAATGTATCTTACCTGCTCGTGAGTATTAGTGATATCCTTAATAGTTAAACTATAAGTCCCACTTATTCAATCTTCAGAATGTGAAATGGGGTTTTGGGGTTTTGGGGTTTTGGGGTTTTGGGG